TAATGAAGGGGATAGAAGAGGGTTCAGAGTTAGTAGCTAGTATTGATTTAGTTGGGTTGACTTGTATGTCTGCCATTATGTAAGAGCATTAGGTGCTGCGGGAGACAAATCCACAGAAACAGAGGTTTTACTTTTAGAACATGATGTACCATTCCAAAGTTTCGCTTCTCAGGTTTTGAAAGATCTGCCTATTGAAGGTGAATCGTGGAGAGTTACAGAAGAGCATTTTCATGGTCGCGCCGACCTAAGACATTTGAATGTCTGTAGTATTGACCCTCCAGGTAATAAATAAATCTATATCTCTTTGATTATTATTAAGAAACAATATCTCACATTCTTGAATCCAAAATTACAAAGGTTGTACTGATATCGATGATGCTTTACATGTTCGACCACTTCCAAATGGAAATTACGAAGTTGGTGTTCGTAAGTTTTATAATATTTTAAATAAAATTTTTATTAATTATTTGTCGTAGAATTTGATTTACATATCTTTTGAATCAGATATTGCTGATGTCACACATTTTGTCAAACCATTCACTGCAATGGATGAAGAAGCTGCAAATCGCGGAACTACTGTGTACTTGGTCAATAAACGTATTGACATGTTACCTGAATTATTAGGATCAAGTGAGCATTATGTATATAGATAATAAATACAATATTAATCAATAGATTTTATTAATTTTAACAATACAACAATACATATTATATTTAATAGATTTGTGTTCTCTTCGTGAAAAAGTTGATAGACTTGCATTTTCATGCATCTGGGTAAGTTGAAAATTTCTAACAAACTAAGTTTGTTAATAACCATTTTTTATTAAACCTTGCTTAAAAAAATATAGGAACTTACACCCGATGCAGAAATAGTAAATGTAAATTTCACTAAAAGCTTGATCTCATCTAGAGCATCGTTAACATATGAACAAGCTCAAATACTTATCGACGATCCGTAGGTATAATATGCACCGTTTGCCTTATTTTTGTGATCTGTGCTAAGTCATCGTCGATTCCTTAGGCGCAAACAAGATGATTTGACTAAAGGACTCCGAATTCTTAACCAATTGGCTAAAAAACTCCATAAACGGCGAATTGATCGAGGTGCTATAACACTATCAAGTCCAGAAGTCAGGTTCCAATTGGATTTTGATTCCCAAGACCCTGTTGACGTCGGTATGTGGAAATTAAACAAAACTATTTAATATACTATATAAATGATATAGAACATTTTTAATAAGTTATAAAATTAAAATAGAAATGAAAGACTTAAGGGAAACTAACGCCCTTGTTGAAGAATTTATGTTGTTAGCCAACATATCGGTAGCTGAAAAAATTTATTCAAAATTCCCAGCATCTTCGTTATTGAGGTATTTATATGATATTATTTATTGTGTGCTACGTTATTTAAAGTTAACAACTTTCTTTTTATTTTATAGGCGCCATCCTCCTCCAACATCAACTAAGCTCGAGGAGTTATCTAATTCAATGAAACCATTTAATCTTTCGTTGGAGTTCGAGACATCAAAAGCTCTTGCAGATTCTTTAGATCGTGCTGTGGTAGGCAAATAATAACAATAAAAATACCCCGATCACTATATCAAGATCACGAGACATTTAGCAAAAATGCCCTGATCCGTATGTGTACAAGCGGAAACGAAGTTTCCTCTAATACTCAACGAGTCTGGATATTTTATTACAAATAACAATAATGACACTAATTATTTAGGTGTTTTAATGTCTAATCGTTGTTATATTTTCTAAATAGTTACCCAATGATCCATACTTCAACAAGTTGCTAAGAATATTAACAACGAGGGCTATGATGCAAGCTCTTTACTTTTGTTCCGGTACACTACAATTTCAAGAATTTAGGCATTACGGTCTTGCAGCGGAAATATATACACATTTCACTTCACCTATTAGAAGATATTCAGGTAAGATATTACACCTTAATCACTAAACAGGTTTTCCGCAAATATCTTAAATAACCTTTCTATTTTAAGATGTCATTGTACATCGGCTGCTGCATGCAGCTATAAATCCTGATGTGAATTATGGTCAAGAGCTGGTAGATATAAGTAAGATGCAAAAACTTTCAGAAGGTAACCTATATTCTATTCATTTTTGTTCTTTACTTCATGACTTTATTAATATTTATTTTTCATCGGTAGTGCTGAATCATCGCCACAGGATGGCGCAATTAGCTGCTCGCAGCTCAGTAGAATTACATACGAATATTTTCTTTAAAGGAAAAATAGAGCAAGATGAAGGATATGTGACGCGTATATTAAAAAACGGATTTATTGTGCTTGTTCCAAAGTATTTATTCTTTAAAAGAAATATTATAACTGGATTTATCGATTTTCCCGTTTAAAAATCCGTACTTACGTTAATTTTGTTCACTAGATACGGAATAGAAGGAATCGTATATTCATCATCAGCAAGCACTACGGCAAAATCTCCAACTACATCATCGGTTGTCTACAATCCTCATAACAATAGTCTTGAATCACAAACGCCTACTGGCATAGTATCTATTAAATTATTTGATCGAGTAATAGTGCAAATTACTGTAGATGAAGATTTAGTTGGTGGTATGAGACAAAAATTGAAAATGGAATTAGTTAGCCCATTCATTCCTGGTCTGAGCGTATCGGACAATAATTTAAGAAAAAAAGAGGTTAGAATAGAGGATGAGGATGAGGGAGGAAATGGAAAAAGAATGAGAATTGATAATTTTTGAATTTATTATTTTTTTTTTTTTTGGTATTAAGGTGAGGTCTTGCTTATATCTTTATTAATAGTTTTTAATATAGTAATTACAAGGAGTTGCTAATCTTTAAATATATAAAATATAAAAAGTAAAAATTATATGTAAGAATAAAAGCTTAGACTACTTTATCTGCAATCTAAATCTATTAAAATGGTTAAAGACTTATCTAGATTGTGATAAATAAAATGTAATTAGAAGATATACTATAATTGATTCATAATATATTGAAATTTTAAGTTTGCAAATGGTCTGCCTAGTGGTGGACAGGAATTGTTGATGTGTGATTGGTTTGGTTGGTCATATCAGCATGAGTAAATATAAGCTTTGCAAGTTTGCTTTGAGATTCTGTTGTTAGGTTGTTGCAACTGAGGTTGGTTATAAGGTAAAGTAATTTCATTTTGCTTTTTCTAGTTTGAAAAAGTATAACAATATAGTTTTTATAGTTGTTTGTAGATAAATTTGTTGATTTGAAGTAAAATATTGATAATAGTTTGAGATGCCAGTTTATATAAAATATCAAATTTTTGGATAGTTTGAATTAGAAATATAGGAATAAGATCTTTAAGTATAATATCTAAAAAAGATTCATGAGTTCTTAGTTGCATATTATTAAAAACTATATAATTTTGAATCATATTAATAAAATTACAAGTTTGGTCATTAGATAAATCTAGTGCTGAATTGTGAATAAGTTCAGAAATAGAATTAGTAATAATATTAAAAAAGGCAGTAGAGTTAAAACAAACTCTTTAGTATGAAACAGAGTCTAAACTATTGCAATAAAAATAGTTAAGATTATTAAAAATATGGAAGATATCTAGTATAATAAAAAAATGAAGTAGGTAATTTATTAAGTAGAATTTAATTTTAAAAAACTTGAGTTGATTAAGTTTAAAGTTAGTATAATTGTAAGTAGACTTTTGGTTATGATTAAATATAACCAAGTAGAGTTCTAGTCAATTTATTGAATAAAGGATAATCATTCAGTATTGCAATTTTGTGATAACTATAGTGCTAAAATATGTGATTTACAAATATTTTTAATAAGTATTTTGTAGAAGATTTAATTGAATGTTGCTTTCACAGTATAATATAGTAGAGTTGTGGATATTAGAATATATAAAATTTAATAGAGATGATAGTATATGTTGTTTTGTAAGTGTGTTAGCTAAGTTATTATAATAGTTATTCATATGGGTTTGAACTTTATGAAAAGTGATTTGTAGATTTGTGATTTAAAAATATTAAGTAATATATGCTATAAAGACCAGTAGCTAAATTTGAAAAGTTTGTAAAGTTGTAAAAATTAATAAAATACAAGTATTTGGAGATAACAGATTATGAATTAGTAAAAATATTTATAATTAAATTGTATAGAGTGGTAAAAATTGTAAATAAAATAAAAAAAGTTTTGTTTTATAAGAGAATAGCCAAAGATAGATTATTGCTAAGAATTTGTATATAATATTATTATTAACATCTAACTGGATCCAACTTATACCTATTATATATTGATTAATGCCAATATTAATTACAGATCTATCTGTATAAAAGTTAAATTAAGATTGTATAGAGTTAGTAACTGAAAATTATTTAAGCTTGGATGTAGATTCTCTAGCCTCAAAGATTTGAAGTACTATAGAATAATTAATAGAGATTGAAGGTAGTATTAAGATTTGAGTAGAGTATTTAACTGCTGTAGAGTAAATAAGATCCATATAGTTAGCATGAAAATTAAGATTATGGAAAGAGATCTTTTCAAAAAATTGTGTAAAGATAATAGATAATATGTTAATAGTACAATAGTTGTTAATTCTATTAAAATTTAGATGATATTCAGTATATGGTTGGTATTGAGCAGGTTAAAGAGGGTAAAGTCAATAGCAACTAATAACAATATCAGTTTTTTAGTAAGCAATAAAGATCAGATTATTAAAGAAGTATTTACCAACTTTACCAATAATAATATTGTTACAAAGCTATAATCTTCTTTAACCAATATAGCTATATAACAAGATCACCCAGTGCAGTGATTAACTTTTGCAAATATATATGGGGCAGAAGTGTAGTTGTTCACTTAACTACATAGCAGGAGGCAAATGGTTCAAGATAGTAACAGTATATAGAATAACTTTATTTCATACAAGAATATAGTAATAATTTTGCCTGTAAGAATTATTCTAGAGAGAGAATATCATATTTACAAGATAAGAAGGTTATAAAAAGAACAGAATCTAAAGTAAAGTATAGAAACTTAAGATTTGGCAGGAAAAGAAAAAGGCTCCCTTTATATATCTTTTTTGTTCAAAAAGAGAATATACAATATACAGTAAAGAAGTAACACTTGGCAGGAGAAGTTGAGAATTGTACTGAGGAAAGTTGGAGAATTGTATTGAGGGAAGTTAGAGAAATATAAACATTACTCATTTTGTTTATATTTATTTGTTATTTGTGAAGAAGAATTTGGAGAAAGGAAACCTAAGAGATTTTGTGTTCAAAATACTTAAACTTTGTGTAGAAGAATTTGGAGGATTTCATATAGAGGAACTTGAGAAAACTTGTGTTACTTTCTTGTATTACTCTTTTGTATAACCTAAAGTACTTCTTTATATAATCTGGTATTACCTCAAATCACATAGGTCATGTAACTGTGGCACAGTTCTAACAGCCAATCAAATTGTTTCTATATAATTACTATATAATATACTAGCACGTCTGAAATGTGTGCCAGGTTTGTGGCGTAGCAAAAACCTTTAAAGTTCGTTAATGTTAGGGTTAGCGTGGTTAGCGTTTATAATAAAGTTAGAGGTTAGGTAATTATATAGTAAAATCACTCAAGAAAAACTTTTTGTTAGAGCAATAAAGCTGGTTTCTTATACAGATTTTCGAGAAACAAGTGATTTTTGACAAAACGAACGTTTGTTTTGAATTTTCCTGATCGTGTTACGTTACACCTGATCTTGAAATCTGATTCGTAGTTTAGGCAATATGTGCCACAGTTGCGCCACAAACCTGGCACACATTTCAGACGTGCAATATACTATCTAAATATATATAAAACTAATATATAATAATATAATAAATCTAACTAATATTTTAACTATATAAAAATACAAATATTTAAGATAATAATAACTAAAAATTACTAAGATAATATTAATAAAATCTATTCTAAAAATCTACTTTGTAACATTTTTTTCTTTAAATTTTTACTTTGTAAAAATCTTTTAACATTTATACTATTTAATAGTATAAAACAATTAGTAGATCTTTTTTTCAGTTTGTAGTTGCCTCATTTTAATATAATATCAATAATAGAAATTATTGAATAATAAAGCTTCTAAGTAATATTCATATGCAAGAGCATATTTCTGGTTATAAATAGTCCTTATTGTAGACTTTCTATATATTTCAAAAACTTTATTGAAATATTATTACTACAATATATTTATAGTTGCAAGTATAGTGACAAGAAAATCTGACTAGAGATTATGCAGATTAACTCAGTCTTAATTTGGTTACGAAAATTATTATTGTTTGTAGTAGCTGCATATGATTGATTCAAATTAAGAATAAAGTTTATACTCAAGAAGTTATCTAGAATTGTTTCAAATTTATTGCAATTGTTTATACAACTTCTGCAGTTTACAAGTCTTGCTTGTCTTTTGTTTCTGTTTTTCTCACATAGTTGGTCTTTGTCTTTTAAAAATATCAAACAAGTTTTTGTTTGTTTGACCTTAAACTTATATTTATTTTTTGTTTTGATCTTTTAGAACTATTTTTTTTACTGGTTTACAAGGTTTCTAAAAATAAAAATTTCTACAATATTCTATCAATAACAAATTCTTTGTCTGCTTCCTTCTCTTAAAATATGAGGTCTCCAAATTTTATGTACCAATTTGTCTAAAAGTAGCTTCTATTTGTTTAAATATCTGTTTATTTCCTGTTCTGGCAATTACATTATTGTTTGTAATTGTTTTCTGTATATGTCTGCTGGTCTTTTTTTTATGGCTAATTAAGTTTTTCTATTATTTAATCACTTGGTTTTGGTATCGTTGGATCCCAAAAATCTTTTTACCAACAGCTTTTGGTTTCTATCTTCCTTTGTTTTTTCTTTTTCTTGCTTCTATTATTTTTCTAATACTTTGTCTCTTTTCTTCTTGTAGTTTTGTTGAAAAACTTTTTATCTTTTTCTTGGCTCTTTTTGTTATTTATTTGCTGTTGTTTTAAGATATGTATACTTGTTCTGGCTATATACTGAGTTTCATTTTATTAGATACTTGGGGCTTGGCCGGTTTTCTACTTTGTATATTTGGCCCAAATAGATATTTTTTTCTTGTATTTTTTTTTTTTTTTCTTCAATACTCGTGGTCTCTTGTGTAAATAGATTAGGGACTTATCTCTACTAGTATTGCAAGTAATAGACCTTGCTTGTTATATTCTTGGAATAAGGACCTTGTTAATTCTTTTTTTTATCATTTTTTAAATTTATATACTTAGAAATCAGTGGTTTCTAATTAAGTTTATGCCTTAGATGCCTTGATACAGAAAAAAAAGTTCAGTCTATAGTCATCTAGTTATTTTGAATAACCAAGTTATAAATTTAAAAACAAAGTATCTGCAAGAAATCTTTTGGTTTTGGAAGCAGTAAGTAAAAGATTTTTTCAAGAGATTTGGCTTTGGACAGTTATTACCAAGAGAGATAGATTAAAAACTTGGGTGGTAAATTTGAAAATTGAAATCAAAGAGTTAAGAAAGAGGGTACAGAAAAATAAGAATAGAAATTATTTTTGTAATATTTTGTAAATAGTTAATAAAATTTTAAAACTTAATTCTAATAATAATTGTAATAAAATATTGAAATTAATAAAATTTCTAATTCTAAAATTGTAATAAAGTAATAAAATAATAAGTTATTATGAATAATAAAATTTTAACGAATAATAAAATTATAATAAATAAAGTTAATA